TGAAGTTCTCCAGCTCACAGGTTGTAAATTCTCGTCCCTCAGCAGGGAATATGCTGACCTCAGCTGGTAGGGATCTGAAGGAGTCCTGGGCTCCCAGGGAGAGCTCTTTTCATGTCACTTGGAGTGCTACGCAAATCCACCTGTGTCCCAGGGCCTCTTCTGGCTTCCCTGTTGCAGAGTGATACTATCTTCCTTCCATTCAGGACTCATCCTTTGGCCCAGTAGCACAATTGTTTCTTTCTTTTTTGAGATGGAGTCTTGCTATGTGGCCCAAGGTGCCCTCAAACTCCTGGGCTCAAGTGATCTTGCTGCTTTAGCCTCCAGAGTTGCAGAGCAGCCACTGGTGAGTAGGAGTCCACGGCTCACCACAGGATGTCAGGACTGGATTCTTGTTGGAGAAAAGGTTCACAGCTTATGATTTCCATGCTGCAGTACTATGCTGAGAAGGATGCTGAGGCCTGCTATAGTTCGGATCTTAAATGCCCCCCAAAGCGTTACTTTGTCTTGACAGAAAAAGTGTTTAGGGGGAATGGAGAAAGGAGGTGTGTAGATTTTGAGGCATATAAAAAAGGGAGCTGTGAAGATCCATGACTGGCACAAGGATGGGGGGCAGCATGCGTGTCCCTATTTACTACTGCTGATCTTAGTCAAACTCTTTGTTTTATCAAAGAGCAGCTGAAAAGAACGGAGATTGGGCCTTGTGTCACCTGTTTTTTAATCTGCCTTTAAAATGAGCCCTGCTCCCGGCCCAGGGTGGGAAAGGGCAGAGGTGCAGGAGTTGCTGAAGAGGTAGACAGTGACAAGAACTCGGAGTTGCACCGAGTGACAGCAATCCTCTTAGAAGCTCTGGACAGTGGCGAGAAACCCAGCCTGCTGTGCAGTTCCTTGAGATATGCCTGCAAGTCTCACAGGCACATGGGGGGTGCGCACGAGGAACCTGGGGTAAGAGGGCTCTGTCCTGAACTCCATGGCCTCAAGCGAAGTGCAGATGGCAGCTGACAAAGGAGAGTTACAGGACGTGGCATCTCCTGGGCTGGAGCATAAGTGTGGTGACCCCTGGCTCAGCTCCTCTGAGTCGGCTCAGCAGATCCATCCCTCACAGGAGGACACGTTGAATGCACAGTGGACGCTTGATAATACCAGCTGCTAAGAGGCCCTATGCTTCCGCTTCCCTCTGGTTTTTGCACATGCAGGTCCGTCTGTTTGGAACATTTCTACGTTTTCTCTCCTCTACGTCACTCACCCCATTTTCTGCTGGACTGGAACTCCTCTCCTTAGAGAAAGCATTTCTGACCCCTCTTCTGGGTTTCCACTGTACTCTGAACTTATCCCAGGAGGCCATGGTACCCTGCCTCCTGGGGATTTCCTATGGGTAAAGATCACAAATGATGTGTCTGTCTTTTCGGTGCCTCGTACTTGGTAGGCCCTAACAGAATAAATGCTGACTAACTTATTAAGTCAGTGAGTTCTGTTCTGGCGTCCTTCACTTGTGATGATGAAAAAGAGCCCTCAACAGAGCACCAAATGCTAAAAAAAACTTTTTCCAAGAATTATAATTCTGGTTTAAAAACCAAGTTACCCACACAGTTGTGGTTTTAATCACTGACATCAAATGTAAAAGAAGAAATCCTCAGAGAATAAACAGTCCCCTACAGTGAGAACACATTTTCCCCACAGCCTGGGGTACTACCACCTGCTCCCCCAAATTCCATCTGGCTTATGGCAGAATAAGTATGTGTTCAAGGGTTTTCAAGCTCAGTTTTTTTTTTTTTTTTTTGTCTTTTTGAGACAGGGTCTCACTATGCAGTTCAGGCTGACCTTGAGCTCACTCTGTAGCCCAGGCTGGTCTTGAACTCACAACAATCCTCCTGCCTCAGCCTCCCGAGTGCTGGGATTACAGGCGTGCGCCACCACACCTGGCTTCAGCTCAATTTTATCTTCTACCAGCAGCAGGCAAGTGAGAGCCATGATCGGGATGCTGTTTTACAAAAGCTTCAAGAACTGACCGGGGAAGGGACAGACTGGTGCTTCTATCTTCCTCAGGGAAGGACTGCCCTTCCTGGGAAAAAACAGAATTTCTCTACCACCTGAATGGCCTGTACTTTCTCTTCCGATCATTCTTATTTCCAATTTTATACCCCATCTTATTCTCAAAAACTCTGAGATGATGCTAGTTTCCTCAGGCCAAGCTCTCTATTAAGAATTTTAGCCAGGAAAAGGCATCTTAGTTGTATCATCCTGGCAAAGTACCTTTCAATATTCTTTGAGCCTTAGCTCTCCTATTTGTAAAACTGGGTAACGACGACTAAACTGGATTGTTGTGATTTTTTTCTCTTTTTGAAACTGGGGACTGAACCCAGAGCTTCACACATGCTAGGCAAGGGCTCTACTATTTATACCGACTCTACTGTTATTTTTATTTTTCAGTGATGGTGACTGAACTCAAGAGCCTTCACACTGAACTACATCTCCAGGCCTTTTAATTTTATTTATTTATTTTTTGAGAAAGGGTTTCGTTATATAGTTCAGGCTGGCCTTGAACTCACTATGTAGCCCAGGGTAGCCCCAAGCACATAGTGATCCTCCTGGGTAGTGTCCCAAGTGCTGGGATTACAGGTGTGTGCCACGAAGTCCAACTAAGTTTTAAAGTTTTGAGACAGAATTTTACCAAGTTTCTAAGTTGCTCAAGATGGACTTGAACTTATGATCCTCCTGTCTCCTCAGTACTGGGGTTACAGATGTATGCCACCATGCCCAGCTCCTACTGTGATTTTAAATTCCATTTTATATGTGGATAACTTAGCCTAATACTGTACTTACTACATAATGGGGATGCAAAACGAGAGCTCTGTCCAACATAACATTCAGAGAATGGCAAAGTTCTGAGGAGACCTTCAGAGACAAAAAAAGAAAAAGAACATCAGGGTTTCTGGAAGCTATCTGATAGAGAATCCAGAACTCTGCCTGAGAGACAATGGCCACAAGGATCTCGGAAGTTTTTAGAATGTCTATAAGTCTCTCAAGCAGTCTGACTTTATTTAGATCAGCTGTTCAATCTTTAAAATGAAAAACGACCAAGTGCTGCTGGGCGTGATGGCACACGCCTGTAATCCTAGCACTTGGGAGGCTGAGGCAGGAGGATCATTGGGAGTTTGAGGCCAGCCTGTGCTACAAAGTGAGCTCAAGGCCAGCTTGAACTGCATAGCGAGACCCTGTCTCAAAAAAAAAAAAAAAAAAAAAAAAAAAGAAAATGACCATTATTTAGTGGGTCCTATTTTAGGAGGAAGGGAAAGAAACTAAGATAGAGGGGAATATGGCTTAGTAGTGAGAAGAGCTGGAATGCTTGGGGGCCAAACAGAGGGAAAGCAAAGCCATTCAGAATGTTAGCAAGAAGACAGGAGGCCTTGCTGTTAGAAGTTCTGTAACCCTTGTGGCTGGGCAGATTGTTCTTCATCCTTTTTTCCTGCTCCCAGGGCTCTGCCCTACAGTGCAGGCAACACAAACCTCACCAGTGTGGGAATGCCCTGTTTGGACTCTGAGTAGCTCCATGACCCTGCTGGCGTAACCTGATCCAGACATCCAGCCACTGGGATGTGTAAAGGACATCTGATTCTTTCTGTGACAATGGGGTAACCCTAAACCTCCTAAGGGAATCCCAGTCTCTTGCCTCAGCCTATACATGAACAAGCAATGATGCCTGAATTTGGGTCAGAAGGGAAAGGTGCCCTTCCCTTCCAGGAGAGAGAGAGAGACCGAATTACTATTCACAGGGCAGAGGTTCTCAACCCTTAGTGAGGCAGCAGTTACCTGGTAACCTGCACAGATTGAACAGACAGATGTGGAACCACGGATGTAGCTCAGCAGCACAGCTCCTGCCTGGAAAGCCCTGAGTTCAATTCCCGGTACCAAAAGGAAAGAAAAAGAAAAGACAAGACAGATGCTCCAGGGCATCCCAGACCTACGAAGAACTTCAGGTGTGGTGCCTAGAAATACTTTAATTTTTACCAGTACCACAAGTGACTGAGCTGTGAAGCTAAGTTAAATATAATGCTTTGAAGGAGTATTATGCTTTGAACATTAGGGAATTTACTAGAGTTCTATGTAAGGAGACAAGACATGTTTTTTTCCAAAGTGGCATCTCCACCAGAGCTCTGCCAGCTCACTGCAACACAGTCCTCAGGAGATGTCTTCTCTACCATGATGATTTATTACCTATGATCAAAATACAGTTTGGGGTTTACTGACAGATGTATCTTTTGAGACAGGATCTTGCTGTATATCCTAGGCTGGCCTTGAACTCATGATGTAGTCCAGGCTGGCTTCGAACTGACAGCAATCCTCTTGCCTCGGCCTCCCATGTGCCAGGATTACAGGCATACACCACCATACCCAGTGATGTATTTTCTGGTACTCTTTTTAATTACTCTAAAGGTGGATGTGGCTAGGTTTGGTGCAGGACATTAATTTATCTGAGACTTCTCTCTACCTGTCAAAATATCTAGCCTGCATTTAACCCATTACAATAATTCCATCCCTAGGAAAACAACCAAACAGAACTGATGAGCCGTGACCAATGGGCCATATGCAGGTGGCTTTTGGTGGAGAATTTTAGATCCCTCTTAGCTGATTCACTTTGTGGGTTATGTTTGTAATGTCTCTATTTTAAATACAATGAAGTCAAAACTCCAAGAACTTCAGTAACATGCTAAACACACACAGCTAGGAAAAGTTAAGACAAAGATCTGGCCCTAAGTGTTCCAATTCTGGGATCTGTGCTTTTTTGCCTTGGCTCCACTCCAGCAGCCCTTTCGAATGGCTAGTTATTTATTTATATGAACATTTATTAATGGCTGACCATTCACATACTGTTTTTATCACACACAAAGATCATGACTTAAGATCCAACAGAATAGAAGGAGGACATGATCACACAAGAACAGAGATGTTCAGTGACTCGTCCAAGATCAACCAGCTACTATACGGCTGAACTCATACTTGACCTTAGGTCTGACGGGTCCAGAACAGCCCTTTTTAACTGGGTCAAGGTGCACAGATGGTGCAGTGGGGAGGAATTCGTACGGGACAGAAGTCATGGATTCCAATCTCTCCTCCAATACAGCTTATTAGCTGTATCACTTTGGCCAGGTACCTTGCTTTCTGTAAAATGGAAACAATAATCTATTACTTAACTGAGAAATGAGGATCCAAATGGACGTAAACGTGTTCTGAAAATCTCCTCTAAAAAATAAGAGGTTAAGAACTGAGATGGGTCGGTAGCCACTTTCTGTCCCTGGCTGTGTGACCTTGGGCAAGTGAGTGCCTCTGTTTTCTCATCCGCATAACTGGAATCCAGTAACTACTCCAAAACGTTGTTGTGACAATTAAATTACAGTATTTGCTTAAGCCAAGGATTGCCCGACACACAATAAATCCAATCAATAAACGTCAGCCTCTACTCTGGGATCTTCAGCTACCTCAAGCACGGATTTTCAAAGCTACCCAAAGCGACCGGTGCTTCAGCTTCGGTCTTGCTATTCTCTGTCTCCTTCCTCAGACCCTGACCCTCCTTTCCCAGTCCACAGCCCGTCTTAAACCCTTCCAGGAACCCCAGCCCGCTTCCCGGTTTCGGCGCTGTCTCTTACTCGACGACTTTGGCTGGATCCCCGTGGTTTGCATAGATCAGCGCCCGTCCCCGGGAGGGATCGGCGGATGCAGAGTAGGAAGAGGCCGCACGATAGTGGCGGCGACAAGATGCGAGCACCCCGGGAGGCAGCTGCGCGGGGGTTCGCGCCCACAACCGCGCGCAGCTGACCCACATGCTTTTCGTAGCCAACACCGAACCTGGCGCACTTGGAAACGTCATCTTTCCGCGACCGGCGACTGTGCCCCGCCTCCAGCCCCGCCCATTCCGCCGCGTGACCACGCCTCTTTAAAGGGCTCTCTCCTTCCTCTGCTGCCCGCGCGGTGGCGCCTGGCTAGACTGAGCAGAGGTCAGGTTTGGGGGCCAAGAAGAGACCTGGGAAAGTTGCCGCCCTGAGTCCGCAAAAGCAGCGTTCCCGACATGGTGTATGTCTGAGACTGGTCTAAAGCTGTGTGTAAAGCCTGTGGTTTGGTGTTTGATTTGGGAGAAGTCATTTACCCTCTCTTGCCTCCGTTTCCCCTTCCCACCATTTATTGAGCTTTTAGTGTGCCAGGCCCTTTAAGGTACTGTTCTATTCAATCCCCACTACCCTGGAACCACACAGGAAGCAAAGCTTACTTCGTTACACTGAGTAGAGCAGATGTACGGTGGTAGGAAAGCAGGACTGCAGGCTTGGAGTTAGCTTTTTTATTTTTTTGAGACAGGGTCTTGCTATGTAGTTCAGGCTGGCCTTGAACTCATGGTGACCCTAGGCTTGGAGTTGGAAAACTTCAGTTCGAATCTGAGCCCTGCTACTTCTTAGCTTGGACAAGTGATATGAATGTTACCGTGGACATTGTGAAAACATTAAGTGTGTTTAGATACAAAGACGAAATCACAAGAAGCAGGGCGCCTTTTCAAGATGCTTACAGTGTAGAAAGAGATTAAGTGGGAAACTACAGATTTTTTGGAAAAGGTATCACCTCGCAAAGATGCTAGGTCTTATTTTTGGTGGAGGAAAGATGTGAACATAACTGAGACCCCAGCTGAACATTGACACAAGCCGGAGTAAAAGACGTAGTGTCAATAAGAGGGGCGCTCTGGAGTGGGGGTGGGGCTGTTGGAGAAGGTGCGTTTGGAGCCAGCCCCTAGATTTCCTTGTGCGTGAGAATATGTGGGGGCAATCTCAGACCTACTGAATTGGAAACTTGGTGAAAAGTTCAGGATTATGCATCCATACAAGTTCCCAAGCGTATCGTGGTACAAGCGGCCCAGAGAGCAAGCTTTGAGAGAGTGAGGGCTCTGAAGGATAAAGATCTGGCTTGTATGTATGTATGTATGTATGTATGTATGTATGTATGTATGTCTTTTTTGAGACAGAGTCTCACTATGCAGTTCAGGCTGGCCTTAAGCTCACGTTTTCGCCCGGGCTGGCCTCAAACTTGCAGGGATCCTTCTGCTTCAGCCTCCGGAGTGCTGGGATTACAGGCGTGCGCCACCATGCGGCTGGACCTGGCTTTTATTAACCTGAAGCTTCCATCTAGAGTCTTCCCTCTGAGGAAGAAAGCACAGCAGAGTCTGATGATTAAGGGTGTGGGGACTGGACTCGGGCAAATGGCTTTGAGTCCTGGCTCTGTCATTTTCCAACAATTTGATTTTGGACAAGTCATTTGGCTTCACTGTGTCTTCATTTCCTTATGGTTAAAATAAAGGGACTAGAACTTGGTGTGTAGTTCAGTGGTGCAATGTTTGCCTAGAATATATGAGGCCTGGGATTTAATTCCTAGTGCAGGAAAAAAAAAAAAAGAAGGAGGAGGAGGGGTTGAGGTACTAATAGTTACCTTATTCAAGGTTATGGAGTCAAGTGCGCTATTACTGACTTGAAGCATTTAGCACACTGCTTGACACATGGAAGCATTTGATCACTATTACCAAGGGGTAATTGTGGAGATCCAATGAGAAATATCACATTTAAAACACTAGGGATGGCTTATAGTACAGGCTCAATAAATGTCTGCACTGATTTTTCTTATTAAAGAAAGTTGGTGTTCCATGGTAGGGAACCGTTGTGTGTGAGCACACATATGTGAGTGTACACACAAAACACTGTCCTATTCACCTACTTTCACAGTAACGCAGAGGCCTCCTTGTATTGGGAAGTATAAAATAACTCTCTAAAACTCCCTAGGTGACATCTACCATGATCTTTTTTACCACACTGGCTCTTCTGAATCCCTAGGCAGCCTCGCCAGGAAGCCTGGAGAATTATCCAGTAAGTCTTTCTTCTTGGGGCTGAATTTTGTTCCTTTGTGTATCCCTATAGGTCTCACTTTTAGTTCAGGCCATCTGGGTTCTTATAGTGGCAGTTTGAGAACCACTTATTGAGGAGTTCAAGTCCAATTGTCCTGGCCTTGCCTTTATGACTGTATTTTGACTCCCAGCCTGTCTTTCCAGCTTTGTCTTCTACCAGTGATCTGTGTACAGTCTGTGATCTAACTGCACCTGATGCCCACCTTTGCTAGCACTTCCTTGTCCTATTCTTTTGTTCAGGCCGGTTCTTCTGCCTGAAATGCTCTTCCCTGCCTTGCCTACCAAGGAAATTCCAGGTTCAGATATCTTATTGAGTCAACTTTTGCTGCCTTTGTGTTTTGTCTGGACCCGTGTTATGGCCTTTAGGGCACTGTCTCGTGCTTATTTACATGTGCAGCCGCCCCCTCACCCCCAGGCAAGAATGGGGCTTCAGGCAAGATGTTTGGTTCATCTCCATGACACCAGCACTCAGTATGGGGCCTGGCACAGGGTAGGCGTCATAAATATTCCATGAGTTGCAGGTAATTGAATTTCCTCATGGCCTGAAACTGTGTAGTGCGGTCTCCTTTTTCCTAGATTTGGGCCCATCAGTCAGGACTGGGAACTTCCTCCTTCCTTTCTTCTTGTCTTGAAGATTATAGAAGGTTGTGGTCTTAAAGCAAAAATGGTCTCTGTGGCCTCCCCTTGCACAAGGAGCAAGGGGATGTGGAATCAGTCAGATCTGCCTACAAGTCCTGGCCCACCGTTTACTAGCTATGTGACCTTGGGCAAATGGCTGAAGCTCTGTTTCCACACCCTACGGTGAGGTCGTCCCAGGCACGAGGTTCCCCTAGGGTCCTCCGCCAACAGCATCCTTGGCTGTTGTTTCTGTTCACCAGTTTTCTCACTTATTCTGCGTGGTCCTGTGTTTGTCTCTGTTCCTTTCCCATCACTTTTTCCTGCCTTTACCTCTGTCTCCCTAAGACTGTCTTGAATCTGCTGCCCATGGTTCTTATCTTTTGCCCCCTTTGGCATCTCAGCCTGGAGCTCATCAGAGAGAAGACGAAGAGCCCAGGACCACTCAGCTCTGCCTCCTCCAGCCCTAGGGCAGCTTCTAGGAGTCCCAACCTTCATGTGAACTTGTAGGGAGAGGCGGCAGTGACCACAGAGGGCCCACATGTATCTTGAACTCCTAGGCTCTACACAGTCACTAACTTCTTGGGAGACTGAAATAATTGGAGATCAGAACTTATTGCTCTTCTGCTTGATGCTTCAGTGCTTCCCATTGCTCTTAGGGTTTAACCCAAGCTTTTTCCTTGCTTATAGTTTCTTGCAAGACCCGAGGCTCTGCTGACCCTACCAGCTGCAGCTGGCTCCGCTCTCCCCCATGCTCTCTCCACTCCAGCTGCCCTGGCCTCCTTGCCGCCTCTAACCCGCCAGCTCCTGCCTCGGCCTAGACTGTCTCCTCTGGGGCACAGACTGTCTCCTCTGGCGGCAGTGCTCCTCCCTGCTGATTTGCATGAGGCCCTGCTCCTTGGTCTCAGCTCCAGTAGCATCAGGTCTCTTCCCAAAGAAGCCTCTTGGACCGCCTTGTCTGAAGAAACCTCTCTTCCCATTTTCTTTATCACAACACTCCGCCTGTTTCCTTTAGAGTGCTCATCTTTTGTTGTAATTATACATTTATTTGTTTGCTGTTGTGTAAGCTTCATGAAGGCAAGGGCCATGTCAGTGTGTATTCATTTATTATTTACCTGTCCATCCAATATTTATGGAGCCCAACTCCATGCCAGATACCAGGTCCTGGGCTACAAGGCAGTCTTTCCTCAGGGGAGCTTATCTTCCACAGGTGGAGCCTGTAATGAATCCATCAAACAGTAGGGCTCTGTTTGGAGCTGCAACAATCCTTGTGCCCCTCGAAACTCCCCCCAGGTTTTCTGGCACAGAACACAGTGATAAGCGATATACACCAGAGAACATGCATTTAGTTATTGTTTGTTCTTCTTCTTTTTTTTTCTTTTGGTTTTTCTCCGGTACCGGGAACTGAACTCACGACCTTGTGCTTGCCAGGCAGGCGCTTTGCCGCTGAGCTAAATCCCCAGTCCTGTTTGTTCTTCTCTTCCTTCTGGAATGTAAGCTCCATGAAGGAAGGGAGGTTTTGGTTTGTTTTTTCTCTCCAACGAAGCCTATTGTCATTGTTGAATAAATGAAGCAATACCTGTAAATATTTGGGAAATGAGTGGGTTTCCAAATGGGTCTGGGCAACTATTCAATTCAAGCTACACAAGCTTGATTCAGATTTCCGTGCTGTCCTGTACTACTAATGCATAACCTTGGAAGAGTCACCTTCTGTCTCTGTACCTTAGTTTCCTCAGTGTCGCAATGGGAATACAATGATTTATGTCTAATGGGGTTTTGGAGGAGATGAAGTGAGTTCGGTGGGGGAAAGCACACAGGAAGTGGCTGGACTGACGGCAATGGAAACTAGTTTTCGGATCGTCGTGTAGAAGCTCCTCCTGGGTAGGGGCCCAAATGCACTTGTGTACTAGAGGGTAGAGTAGGACCAGTAAGGGTTAGTGAGGAAGGTCGATTTCATGCCGTGGAAAGGAAGAACTTTCTGAAAGCCAGCGTTTCTGAAGACTCAACATCACGTTGGTAAGTGGTGAACGCCCGGTCCTGGGGGTTAGATACGAATTCACGTTCAGAGAGGCCCAGGTAGGTTGAACTCAAGCATCATAGGACAGAAAGGCAAGGTGTCCCTGGGTCACTGTCCTTGAGAGCGCTATGCAGGAGCTAGAAATTAGCAATGAGGACGTTGGGGCCAGG